GGGCCGGCCCTTTTTTTCCTTTTTCAGGCAGTTTGCGGTTTGTTTGGGAAAATAAAAGAACCATCTCTATAAATATTCAACATATTTAAATCACATAAGATTACTTCAAAGCCATAGGCATGACTATTTCTCAATAGGATCAAGAGGATTTTCAGGGTAGAGAACATCTCGTGGAGATTTTAAATGTTTCACTTCTCTTGAGCAGCCAGAATTAACTCCATCTTAGAGGACATCTCTGATAAGGGGTTGGCATCCTTCTTTCATGCCTCAGTTGCTGGTCACCGTCTCCTATGTCAGGATGGTCCCGTGTGTAAGGTGCAGTGAAGGAATATGTAAAATACCAGGCTTCCTACCACAGCTGGCCCACCACAGGCGCTCACCAACCTTGCACTGTAATGATCATTTTATTTACTCTCCATTTCATCCTTTCCATATGGAATCATGGCTTTTAACATGGACCACATGTTGTGCAATCAGTGCTAATATTATAAAAGCAGGCTGTCTTCTGTTACAATCAGAGGCAGTGGTGGTGGGTGGGGAGCAAAAGGTGAGGGGTGGGGGGCTTCCTGAGTGCCACCTGCTGGACCCCCTCCTCCTCCACTTCTCCATGAATACCGGCTCAATGTGACCAGATGGGTTTCCTCTTCTGGATGAAGGCCTTGATCCCCTCCTGCCCATCCGGTAGGGCCAGGTTGTCCACCATGGTCTGGGAGGTGAGGTAGTAGGCTGTTCTAAGGTCCTGGGGCAGCTGCTTGTAGAAGGTGGCCTTACCCAGTGCCACTACAGGACGGCTCAGGGAGGCGATCTTTCTGGCTATTCTCATGGTCTCTTCCTCCAGCTGCTCTTCCGGCACGACTTTGCTGAGCAGCCCATGCAGCAAGGCCTCCTGGGCAGAAATGGGCTCCCCAGTAAAAAGCATCTCTAAGGCAACCTACGGGAGGAAACACAGGAGATCGTTAAGTCTCTCTTGGTACCCCACATCCACAGTTTCACCGTCTTCCATACCCTAACTCCTGCCAGGGATGAGGTCAGATCTTCCCAAGAGCAAAGACAATACATGTATCCCAGGAGGGGAAGGGGACTTCCTAGTGTTCTCTTGCTCTTCCCTGGATCTGATCACCAGGCCCCGCCGAAGCAGGGTATTCTATCTATCTCTTTTGAGGGCCAAGCACAGGCCAGCAGCTACCTGTGACAGGATGCTATTGTGATCGCTGCAGCTGTGAGGCCCTGTACCTCCCATGAACCAATGTGGGGCCACTTCCACAAGGAGGCACTTTCTTAGGCACCATCACCAAAGTCTGATTTGAAAGAGCAGCCTCCAGTATCCCAGAGAAGGGGGCGTTTAAAGAAAATGACTTCCAGGGACTGGATGTGGAGCTCAGCATGGTTTTAACTCACAAATAGGTGAGAGGTGACAAGGAGAGGTGCCCTGCAGGAGGAGGAGCATCACTTCCTCACTCTCTGTTCCACAGCCTGCCACATATTGTGCCGTGATCCTGTAATTCCCTAAGCTGAAATTTACAACCGCAAAGTGGGGTCTCGGTGCACACACCCACGCCGGCAGGGGGCTTCCCTCTCCCTCTGCCCCGTTCATGCTCTTGCAGCCCTGGTGGCATATTTGCTGTTCCTTAACACACCAAGCATGCTGTCACCTCAGGGTCCTCTACCCCCTCCCCAGTGTCCTCATGGCTTCTGTCCTCATCTCCTTAAGGCTTCTGCTCATAAGTCACCTCATCAGTGAGGTCCTCCATGACCGCCCTGTTAAAATTGTCAAACAAACTCCAGCTCTATCCCCTTTCCAGTTGTATTTTTATCCTTTCAATTTTCCACCATCTAACATACCATATACAAGTTTATATGTTTATTTGTTTATTGTATATCTCTTTTGCTAGTCTGTAAATGCCAGTAGGGCAGGAGTATATATTTTTTCATTCTGTTCATTTTAGTATCTCCAGCACAAGACTGCCTTGCACATAGTAAGCAACCTACTAATATTTATTGATGAATGATTTAATGAATAAATGAAAGAATGAAGGCAAATACAGTACAGCACAAGTGACACTACAGTTTCTTTGAGGCTGGGTCAAAAAGGTGACACGGCTTCCACCTGGCCCTTTCTCTGGGGATGCTCAGTGTTGGAACCTGGTTGCCATGCTGTGAGGAAGCCCAGGCCACACTGGGAGGCAGGCTGAGTGGGCCAGCTGACAGCCCCAGTTGAGGGTCCACCTAGTCATTTGAGTAAGCCACCTTCAGACAAGTCCCCCAATGTCACACCCAGTCTTCAAGTCTTCCTGACTGGAGCCGCAGACACTGTGCAGCAGAGATAAGCCTTCCTTGCTGTGCCCTGCCCATACTGCAAATTCATAAGCTAAACCAATTATTATTGTTTTGAGCTACTAAGTTGTGGGTGGCTTGTTATGCAGTAAGAAATAACCAGACTAGCTTTAGATATAAATTTGGGAGTCATCAGCATTTAGAGCAGGGTTTCTCTACCTTGGTGACCATATAGTTTTTTGCTGCATGGGGCCGATCTGTGTGCATTGTAGGATGGTCTGAGGGCTCTCTTGCCACTGCGGGTGCAGAGACTGGCAGTCAGGGACAGATGATGTTGGCCTCATTTTCTCCTCTGTAAAGTTAAGGACATGGACTAAATCTCAACTCCTATTTTGGAGATGGAATGATCCCGTGCTGCAGGAAGCAGGAATGTGACACCTGTGGATTGCTTCAGAGCAGACCATTTTTTAGTTGACCTGGAATAACACCATCATGCCAAAGCATATCTGAAGTCCCTGGTTGCACATGGGTCCTGCTGCTAACTGCTGCTAAAGATCACTGTACTGAAGACGCCCAGCGAGTCACAGTGAGGGAGCCAGGACAGCATTCTGCTCTGTCTCTGCCCTGAACCAGGTATCAGCTGGGACCCAGTGCAGAAGCCAAAGTGGAAACAGCGTTGTGCACCTCCGAGCTTCCCCTTTTCCTCCATGAGCACAGGCGGCTCTCAGGGAATCCATGTGGACCACACATCAGAAAGTGGCCAAGCCTGAAAAACCAATGCAACATTCAAAAAAACCCCACCACCCATGTCAAGCTTATTGATTCCTTTACCACTGGAATGATCAAGACTTCAATGACTTGCAAAGAGCAGTTAAGAATAGCATCAGAGCTGGAGGAGGAAATAATCAAACCCAAAGCAGTAGGTGGCTGGCGCAGCAGATGTGCACTCTTCACACCCATGCAGTGGGGCTTGCAGTTTGGGCTCTGGACCTGTCCATGGGTACAATCTCCTTATCAGATGCATCTTCTGATAGATGCCTTCCTCAGCTTCT